ATCGTGCTTATGGGTCTTTCAAGATGAGCCGAAACCAACCAAAGCAGCGCACGTGAAAAGTGTAGCTAAGCGGATGATTTCTTCTTTTTTTACTGTACACGTAGCTACCGTCGCTTTCGTCAATCTAATCGTCTTTCGCTAATCGTCGTACCGTGAATAATGATGACCATTTGTTTGCCGGAAGTTATTGACGAACTGCGAAAAATAACTGTAAACTCCGTATTATCTTGCACCACGACATGCAATTCCCCATACGGTCAGACAGACACAATAGTATGAAAAAGGGAATTTACGCATAGGGAGAATATTTTGACAAATAATAAATTCATTTTTCACCTTTAATAGTAAACGAGCCGTGATAGCTCAGTGTCCGGGCGCTCGCCTTTAATTCAATATACTCGAGCAACCTGAGTTCGATCTCCGGTGCCGGCACCAACGAAATTGTTAATTTTAAGTGCCGAATTATCACGTGCTCTGCGGTGAAGGAAAACATCGTGATGAAACCTGCATATTTTCGAAGTATTAACAAAAAAAATATTTCGAAGATATGTGAAATCCGCCAATCCGCAGTGGGGCCGCATGGTAGACTATATAGCCCTGATAGCCTCTGTACAGAGGAGGCCTTTGCCAAGCAGTGGGACATGAATAGGCTGATACTTTACTTTTATTTTACTTTAATAGTATTTTTTTCTTATCCATTGCGGTAACTTTTAGTTTCCCCACGCGCCCACGAATGCCCAATTTGATTTATTACTCAACCTGCGGCTAGATTTTTTCCCATTTATAGCATAAACATTTCAACTACCCATCAGTCATCTCCAAAGCTACAGTTCTACAGTTACGACTTGCGACGACCATAACAGAATCGACAGCAGATGCTATTGTGTAGCTTACGACAGTAACATTGTTATTTGGATGAAATGTTTACTTGGTTTTGTACCGTTTACTGGTTACTAGCAGATTCAGCAATAGAGAATATGCGTACGTTTTTTAATCAAAGTTTTTTATGGTTTGTTTCACCTTTTATTTCTCGTCATTACATTAAGTGTAAATATGAGACAAGAAGTTAATATAAACAAATTAATAAAACGTTTTCTAATGAATAAAGAAAATTATTTGTACTTCAGTGTTACTGTAATCAGAAGCGTTCAACGATTTCAAAATTAAATATTAATGAACTGCTAATAGTCATTTCATTACGAAATTATGTATAAACACCTAAATAAATGAAATGAAATTAATAAACAAGGGCATAATTAATACATTTATGGCAGAATGATTTCTTGTATTTACGCGATTACACATTATAAATGAAACTAACATTTATGGCAGTACAATATGCACGCGTTTTAGATTAATCAGGAGAATAAACTGGGCTGACAGATAATATACCATACAAAGTTGTTAGGATTATCAGAAACGGAACCGTTGTGTCCCCACAATAACCGGTCGTTGTACTCATCAGTATCTACGCCTAACTTAAGGCTTTGATTGTATCTTTTATTGATGATTAGAAACATCAAATCATAATTCTGCATAATTGGCTCGAGAATCCATTCAAATCTCTCTTCGTCCGAGTTATTTGCACCCCACGCTTTTCTATCTCCTATTTCATCAGTATTAACATCCAGCTTCAAGAACATTCCGTGTTCCATATTTGTTATTTTGAACGTTACAGAGTTATCGTTCCATATTGGCATAATTTTCCACATAAACCTTATGCTACTTTTATCTCTATTGTCCCCCCAAGCTAATCTATCATTATAGGAATCTGTTTTGGCGTCCAACTTAAGTGCAAGGTTATATTTTTTGTTTAAAATTACAACATAATTATTTTTGAATATGGCTTGGATCGGTAGTGGGAAATAGTTTGAAACGATAACATCCGCGTTTGAATTCCATAGTTGGTAAGCGTAAGACAAAATGTTTTTATTTCCTTCTTTAAGCAGTTTTGTAACAACGTCGAAAATTTTACTGCCATAGTTGTTGTCGTTAAGAAATTTGCTCTTCGTCACGGCACTTTCATAATTTGAGTCTACAATATTTTTATATAAATAATCGCTCATTTCACTTAAATTCAAATAAGCTCGGTAATTATCAAATAATGTTAAACCCAGTAACTTGTTGGGTAAATTAAAGTCTTGACAGTAGTTCAAATTTTTCTTTTTCAACTCTTTTTCAAGGTTCTCAATGTCTGCTGAACCGTCGTCGAAGCCATAAACAACGACCTTACCTACTTCGCCGTTTATTATCCTTCCGATGTCTTTCGCGCAACTGTCATTTATAGGAGCACCCATCAGAGTGACAAGTTCGACGGAATCATTTTTTATGTAACCACTAGTGTCACAGTTTGTATAACTTACAACTGGTATCCTGTTTGGGATCTTCCTGTTGGTATCAGGACCATTGCTGACAAGCTGATGCACATGATTGATATTATAACAATTAGCAAATCCACTGCACCCAGCGACCACCGTAATTCTACCTTCACCCCAATAATCGACATGTTCTATCAGTTTCTTGGGCGCTGTTGGTATTTTCACCAAATTATATTCGCCTAAATATGGTACCTCCGAATATGGATAAGTTTTATCAACGTTTTCATCGTAGTTGGGCGGTCTCGCGTACTTCCACGCACTCATAGAAGGCATGATTAATTAGTTCAAGAGCACTTACGAATCTAGAAAAAATATAAACGATTTCAAGAAACACAAAATCCAAGTTTCATTCGTTGATTTTTCTTACTTTTAACCTCCTCTTATTACGGTGCCATACGAAATCACAATGTTTACGATGTGAGTAACTAAATGCACTGATAAAGTAACCAATGTAATTAAGAAAAAGCCCCAGTATATATATTTAAACAAGTTTATATGGTATCTTATACCGTATTCGTAACCATTATAACATAACCATAATTTCCTGTTACTGTGTCCTGTGCGTTCTTATCAGTTTACCATAAAATAATGTTATATCTGTGTTATCGCTGAAATATATTTTACCACAAGTCGTGCTCTATCATATTTGACCTACATATAATACAAAATTATAAGAATAAACATTGATAAATAACCTTTAAAAAAAGGAAATACATTGATAGATAGGTGTGTGTACGTAAATGGTAAAAGTAAAGTTACAGCCTATGTATGTCCCACTGCTGGCACTGCTACCGCGCGACCCCACTGCGGATTTGCAGACTACACATATCTTGGTGTTATTATTTCAAAAATATGTAGGTTTCCTCACAATGTTTCACCGCTGAGCACGTAATAAATAAGCACTTAAAATTGACAACTTCATTGGTGCTGGCACCGGGGATCGATCTTAGGTTGCCCGAGTATATTGAATTAAAAGCGAGCGCCCGGACAATAGAGCTATGAAGGACAGCGTAATTGTAATTATTATATTGTGTATTTGCATATTGGCAAATCCTAAATGTGAGAAAACCAAGTCAATTCATAACTTTTTTAAGCTAGGTACGTATAAGTTATATGTGGGGAGTAAATAATCGTTAAAGCTGCTCTTATGAGGATGGCATATACAAAATACGAGAAAATCCGCATTAAAATACATATTTGGCCTTTTAGTTAAGCCTGAAACAACCACAGATCAAATAAAATTGTACAGAAATCAAAAAAAAATGTACAGAATTAAAGTGGGAGATATAATTTCAATCTGATGTGACAATAGTTTACAATAGACCATGTATCGTATATAGTATAGCTAGAAAATAAAAAGGCAATAAAATTTATTATGTAGAAGACAATTCCGTACGATGAGACATTATAGAAGTAAAAAGAAATGGTATTAAAGAAATCATAGAATTAAAATAATGACCTCTCACGCAAACTCAGAATTACCCGACTGGAAAATATCAACGAAGTCAACCCCGTAGAAGTATGACCCCAAGCTAAACACAAAAATTAATACACACATCCTCAAAAACTGGCAACCATACATACACCATAAAGATTTGACATATTTAGGCTGTTATTTTCCTTTATTCTACTTTGCCGATGCCTGCAAAATTTATCTTGAATAACACCCAATAATCACCCATGCGAACATTATTATCGGTCAGATTAAAATAATTACATCGATTTGATATCACATGGTTAGGCATATATAGGTTACGTCATCGTTTTTATTTATTAAAAATATATTTCAAGCTCTATGTTTACAACACGTACAAAATTTTGTTTCTTGGTATTCAGCTCTCTTCATTACTATATTTTGCTAAGAGGGCAGTCTGGTACTTTAACTACATCATAGTCACAGTAAAGAATGAGACAGTTGTAATCGTGTTGTTCAGTCAATTTTTTGCCCGCAGTTTTTAAAACAAAAAGTCAATAATAGTGATTTCATTAAAGTAATAGTGACCCCCGCCACCCACGGACTCTTGAAAAGTTTTCGCATTTTGCAATTTGTTTGCAAAACACAAAGCGTTATTGTACGGGCGCTCGCTTTAAATACAATATCGGGTATATCAATCTGTGTTCAATCTCCGGTACCGGCACCCATGAAATTGTTAATTTTATGTGATCAATCAACACTCAACGGTGAAGGTGAACATCGTGAGGAACCCTGCATTTTTTCGAAAAAAATATTTCCGAGACATGTGAAGTCCGCCAATCCGCAATGGGGTCACGTGGTGGACTATGCCCTAATACGCTCTGTACAGAATAGGCCTTTGCACAGCAGTGAGACATTTATAGGCTATTACTTTCCTTTTTTAGACATACTTCTCCCGTAAAATAAAATAAAATACTTTAACACTCAAGGCAATTGTAGGATACGCCTAATATCGATTTATTTTGTTTAAAATAAGTCATATAATTATAAAATTATAAAACTATTTTACCTAGTGTAAGAACCTTAATATAGCAAGATAAGACGATTGACAGTATAACCGTTGGTGCATCGAGGTGTTTATAATGACTGATTACCGATAAACTAAATGATTTGCTGTTCGGCGTCTGAAATGATAAAAATAAGGAAAAATGGCTTACGTGGGGAAGCTGTACCAACATGTTAGTGACGAAAACTTCGAAGCCTTCGTCAAAAGTTTAAGTGAGTATTAGAATTGCGAATTAATAATATAGTCTGCATTATTTTAATTACTTGGGTACTTACCACTCTTAACTTTCTCTATACACTTAACATAATTATTTCTACACACTCTTTCCATATTTGCGTTAGTACTTCTCGCTACCACTTCGATTTTAACCCACTATATTTTGACACCGTGTCCATAATACATGAGGATTGTTTTGAATATTTAAAAATAAAACGTATTTACTTTCTGGCAACTTGTTACGCTAACATCCATTGCATACTTCATTTCTATCTGTTTTACCTGTCGAAAGATAACAATAATAAATAATACGAACATTTTGTTTGTGATTGATAACCGAAGTTTTCATCGATTTTGCCATTTTATGACATTTCCATAAATAGATATCGAATAAATAATAATCTATGGCTATTGTGATGAAGCTTTTGGACAAAAACACTGTGAACATAAGTGAACATGATACGTATGAATGTTATAAAAAATATCTGCCACATAAGTGGCATTTCCATCCATTTTAATTCGATCACAGGACGTATAAGTGACAGCCTGAAATAAATAAGATAATCACAATAAACTAAAATTTTGACGAAGTAAGAAAAACTTTTCAGTAACTTTTTAAAAAATTCTTTTCGAAATAATATCGCCTTCAAATTAAAAGGACGCTAATAATATTTTAATTATTGTTGGTGCAGAAAGTAAGTTATAAATAAACTACAATAGGTTATGCCATCCGTTTTATACTTTCGTGTTTATTACATTGTGCAGTATTCTTCTTCTCTTTTGTTTTCGCAAAGAACACGAATTTAAGCTGACTGGAGTTGGAATCGTGATATTCTTGAATTGTACACCCATAAAACCCAAGATAAAAACAAACCTCAACAATGATCTGAAATGTGAATTTTTGTTGTTAAATGAAACTTTTGGCGCTACGGGATTTGAACCTGCGTCTTCGGGGTCAAAGCTACTGTTTTAATTACACGTCAAAGCGTAGTAGGATGACGACTAAATAAGTTAGGCAAGTAGTCGTTTTTTCCAATCTACGGACTATGATATAATCCTTGTGTCGTTTTCACATATTTGCTTATTTCACATATTTTTCGTTTTCCGTTGATTAAGGTGACGATCCAGTAGACTGAAACGCGCAATGGAACTCAGTAATATGACTGCTAAAACTATAACGCTATCTGTGATCGTTTTTATGTACATAATATTCGCTTCGTTGAGCAAACATATCTAATAAAAATATATAATATAATATATAGAAAAGAAATATCCGCATTTTCACCCTTGGATTGCTAATGTAGAAAATTATTTTGATGCAGATCTCACAGAGGAGCAAGCCACTGGTTTCCTGAACTACAAACCTGACCAGAAGCTTGTAAAGAATGGTGACACTTACACCCTGACCACCACAAGCACCCTCAACAGCAGGGAAGTCAGCTTCAAGGATGGTGTGGATTTTGATGAAACAGTGGTTCCAGGTCGTGTGGTCAGTACAATCTTATGTATATCTTTTGTATTCAAACAATTGCAGCAATCCTTTGCAACACTATTCTGAGACTATTATTTTGTTTCTTTGTAAATACAATAATATTGAATAATGTTGTGAGAGTGAAATTTAACTAAAATTTACGATATTTCTTTTAGGCAAAGACAACGTTCACATTCAACGGTAATACTCTGATCCAAGTCCAAAAATACGATGACGGCGTTGTGATTACAACGAAAAGGGACTATTCCGGCGACGAACTTACAGTGGTTAGTATAATTTTATATCAATAGAGGCTACATACATTGTAAACATTTATATAAGTTACTTATTAATACGACATTATAATACTTGTGTTATACGAGTAATTTACCCTGACTATAGGCATCATGCAGAAGTATAAGTTTCTTTCTAAATTTAATATTTTTCATAAAGCCATATTGGCAATCTCAATCTATCTTAAGGGTAAGGAGAGAGACGAGTTATTCTAGTAATTTTAAATGCAAATTTTATATATCCTTTTTTTGTATCCAGACGGTGCAAAAGAACAAGGATGGCCCAATAGCAATTAGACACTACAAAGCCTAAGGTATTGATATTAATAAATAAACTTTTTTATTATAACCATATTTTTGTTTTATTTCCTCCAAAATATTTCTCGCAATATAAAAATCTGCATGTTAAAGTTGTCCGTTCAGTGTCACATTTATCTTCCAAATCACGCGCCCACATGTTTTACCATATGATTTTGTTTTATTTTCAACATGAATCACCTCAAATAACTTTTACAAAAAATATTTAAAACGAGAGAAGTGCTAGATGTAGCATGAATTTCTTTTAGAAAATATGTCGCAAAGTTCTCTGACAATTTTTTTAGCACTAAAAATAAATTCAATCATAAAAGTCATTACTACGAATCACATACGCTCTATAATGGAAAGATTACAGACTCACAAGTCTTGAGGACCCTCAAATCTGCGGAGCTTTTTTATTGCCTAATGCGATCTCGCCAATGTTTTTATTGTATGTATGGAATTAAAGGTCTTTCTACCTCTTCAGCTTACATTTTTATTCCTTACAATTTATACCTTCAACTAAATGTATAAGTTGTGTAATGTATAAACTGAATGTGCTATTTCAATATTTATTTATTTATTTATACTTTGTTGCAATTGCCTTACACAAGGATTACAAAGAGTGAACATAATGTCTTTGTAAAACTTTATAATGGCTTAATTAAAACGTTCCCAGCTTACAGTATATTATTTATTAGCGACCCGCCCCGGCTTCACACGGGTGCAATGCGAATGTTTGTTTTCGACATCGCATTAGAAACCTCTAAAATTATCAGTGTTTCTCTACTATGCCTCTAACCTTCCTCTAGAATCACTATGTCTATTAAAGAAAACTGTTTATTTTTTTTTTGTTGCGTAGTTTTAAAGATCTGAACATTAATTTAAACGAAAAGACTTTCCAGATTATTCTTAAATAGACACAGTACAGTTATAAAAGTAATAACTTCACCCGGCCACTCGATTATTTTGAAAATATATATTTTATTGATACGATTTTTAAGAAGCAATCCATACCGTAGATCTTAACCACATAATTCTTAAGATAGATCTTGAAAATGATAAATGAATCTGTTGAAATGAAATGGTATATCAAAGAAAATGTAATCACTACGTTTTTACTATGTGGTATATTGGGAAAGCTGTTGAGCAAATGTTCACCTTTGAAAGATCCTGTCAAGATTCGTAGAAGCAATCTACGACGTTGTTCATAATTTTTTTCTACTGCCAGTCACGTATCGCTTCTAAATAACGAAACTGTTTGATATTTCGTGACAGGATAATAAGGACGCTAAATTTCTTACGTATGTTGTACGAGTACCAATCTTAAAATTTTTTAAAGTTTTTTATAATACTAATCTATGCACTTAAGATTGAACATTAAAACATGTAGAAAAAGTACGAAAAGATTGTCGCCGCTGTGGGAATCGAACCCACGTCTTCGGCATTCGCGGCCTAACGCTCTAGCCACTGAGCTAAGCGGCTGATAGCCACAGCGACGACGTTATTTAGCATTTGAAGCAATGCTTGCATTTTGCTGCTTACATTCTTAGCAGATTAAATTAAAATTCAGCAATCGAAGAGCACGCAAAATGAGAGCGCTAAACGCACCGATATAAGAGAAAATGAGTCTAGTCGCATTCTTGTACGGTGCGGACGTCATCTGGAAACGGATGGCTTATGCGCCATACTGGAGACGTTATTCGCAAATCTACTACTGCCTCCATCAGTTTTGTAGCTCAACAGCGACGACGACATTGGACCCGTGAACCCGTTAAGCGTTATTTAGATTCCGAAGATTCCTAAAAAGCTGACTGCTTAACGGTCAACCTAGATCCAATTATATACATACATCTTTTACGAACACGGCGATCCAACTTAACTATCGAAGGTGAACCGCGTTATCGATGATACTACTACTACCGACAAGCAAACCTTTAAATTTAGTGACCACGAAAAATGTTAAAGACATTTTAAAAAAAGTCATAACCAGGTTCCCTCCCCAGTTCCTGACAAATTTAGTAAAAAAAAATTAAGATCATCTCGAATTTTAGATTTTACTGATTTCATTGCTGACAAATAGTAGCTAAAAAAATACAAATATCAAATAAATCACATAACCAGCTAGGATCTTCAAGAATGTTATAAATTCTTATTACCGCTTTTTGGTCAAAAATTATTTATTTTAACAATTAAATAAAAAAAACAAATTATTATTGCTTAAAAAGTAAAAAAAGGTACTTTAAATTGCTATTTTGAAAATCTTTATTACAGATGAAACGTGGGCACGCTTGCGGCCACGAGCGCGGCGTTGGTCACCACTAACGTAGATAGTTCAAAGCGAAGCGATCTGATGCGATGACACGTGATTCTATGCGGTGCGGTGCTAAGTGGCGGTTTGGTCCTAGGTTTCGGATATTTTTAACTCTTTTAGATTGGCAGAATTCACATATCTTCAACATACGTTCTATTTTGAAAATGTGCCGGTTTCCTTACTATGTTTTCCTTCACCATTGAGCACCAACTCACATTGCTCTATAATACTGAATTAAAAGCGAGCGCCTGGATCTACCACGGCTCTTTTGCATGCAATAAAATAGCAATATACCCGTAATAGCAAAATAGCAATAAATGTATGCATTTTACTTGTGCCCTGATACCCTCTGTATAGAAGAGGCCTTTGCCCAGCAGTGGGACATGTATAGGCTGTTACTTTACTTTTACTTTACTTTTTTACTTGTGTGCGTCGTACTTCATCGTACGACTTACTGGAGAAATTTATTTAACAAATCTTCAAACGATGATTTTGACAATGCTGAACTAAATCCCACTAGGTAATTTGCTTGGGCTGTGGTTCCAGCAAGACAGGGCACCACAATACTATTCCAGCCCAGTGCGTGCCATTTTATGGAAAGATTTTGGGAGTCCATGGATTGGTCGTTTTGGCCCAGTACCGTGGTCACCAAGGTCGTCGACATCGTCAAATGGAAGGAGTATTGGGTTTTCTTAGGGTTAAATTGGATATTATTGGGTTTCATTTGGGTTAAATTGGACATATGAAAAAAAAGCTTTGTCCTCGCTACATCTCTGTGAAACGGGGGACTTTTAATCCGTACTTTTAATCAGTACCCGCGCACTGACGCAGTGACAAATAGTGAGGCTACTCCGAGCGGCCCTCATGGGCCCGGCTTAAAACACTGGCTAGCCCTGTGTGGATTCCTCTTAGCTTCACCATGGGTGACCAAGCCGGATTGGGTTTATTACACGATATATACCACGATAAGGCGGGATCACGGGAAGCCGGCATAAAGTGGGAACCTTTATTCTTTTACGTATCTGATAAGCCATACAGCAAGACTGTTAAAAACCTTGGTGTTCACTTGGACTCTACTTTCTCGTGGTCTCACCAGTTAAAAGAAGTGAGCAGGAAGACATTTGCAGCCATGGGTTCTCTGCGCCGCTTACGTTCTTTTCTCCCCAATTCCACTTGGATTATGTTAACACAATCCCTACTTCTTTCCATTCTCGATTGCGGACGCAAGCTATCTTGATTTAACCGAGAACCAACTTAACAAGCTTGAGCGAATTCAAAACTTAGCTATCAGATTTATTTTTGGTCTTCGCAAGTATGACCATATCTCCGAATATCGTACAAAGCTCAAGTGGTTACCTATTCGCCTTCGCCGGAATCTGCATATTGTTTCTATTCTGTACTGTGTTTTGTTCAATCCTATGACTCCAAGTTATTTGAAGGAACGGTTCAAATTTTTTGGTCATGACAGACCAGAAAGAGTTCTGCGGTCAGCCAAAGAACTTATTCTCGCCCCGCATACTTTCCGGACTACAACTATTTCAAGAATTACTTTACAGTTAAAGTTATTTGCTTATGGAACATGGAGGAACCACACACAAATCCAGCGCTCAAAAACGTTAAGAAAGTTTAAAACTAATGTTAAAAATTACTATCTGTCACTGTGTTGACACTGATTGTCACTGACGATATTTGTATATTTATTTTATATTTTTCTCTCCCCGTAAATGTTTTTGTAAGTTATTGTATAGTACATGTTTAGTCTTATGTATTTCTATTGTATCTTATTAATTGGTATATATTAGTATATTATTATTTTACAAAATATTATATATTCGTTCAGTTTATTGAGATCTTAGTATGTAAGTTTATCATTTGCACCAACTACCGTTGTCCAAAATATTGTACTTTTAGCCACAAGGTTGTCTGGAAAGATCGCTTTTTAGCGATAAGACCGCCTTATTGTTACTACCTTATAAGTTACTTTTGTAACATTTCTTATATATCTTTATGGTATTCAATAAAGCATATAATAATAATAATAAGTTCTGTAATTGCAGACTACTTGGTAACTCTATTGCAATTCCACGGGCTTAGTCGATGCGGAGATACTGATTTAAAATAAATTAGTATAAAAGACTTTTAAATTTTAATTATTCCTACACAGCATATAATTATGAAAATATATTACTTAGTGTCTGCACCTTAATATTATGAAGATAAGGCGTTTGAGTGTAGAACCGATGGTGCATCGAGGTGTTTATAAAGGCTGATTACCGATAAATTAAATTATTCGCTGTTCGGCGTCTGAAGTGATAAAAATAAGGAAAAATGGCCTACGTGGGAAAACTGTACAAACATGTTAGTGACGAAAATTTCGAAGCCTTCGTCAAAAGTTTAGGTGAGTATAAGAATTGCGAATTAATATAACCTGCAATATTTTAAATACTTGGGTACTTAATTACCACTGCTCTTACCTTTCTCAATACCCTTACCATAATTTCTTCTACACACCCTCTCCATCTTTTCGATGGTCTTCTACTTCGCTTTTAACCGACTACCATCTACTATTACTATTACTTAAAACTACTATTATTTAAAACGAAGGTAAAACTTCGTTGTAAATAATACATAACATAACATATATTAATATAAAATAAATATCAATATGTGGCATAGCAATGCGTTTTAATTATAAAAAG